TGAGCATAATAACAACTACAGGAGCAAAAGAATACAATGCCATTAGAGCCCTTTGCAAATTAATGCCATCCACACAGCATCAGGGGAGAAAAGTACTTCTTTGAATATTGTGTTAATACTCTGCGTTAATAATCAAGCCATATTTCTTGATTAAGTCATTGGTCACTGGATGAATTTCACATCCTAGTGGGTTATTATGTGGGAACACATAAAACCCTGGAAAAGCTGGATGAAATTCATCACTGGATGAATTTCACATCCTAGTGGGTTATTATGTGGGAACACATAAAACCCTGGAAAAGCATTAAAAATAACGAAACAAGGGGTTTGTGCATAAAACAGAGGCTTTTACCTCTCCCGGTTCACCCTCAATGACCTCCTCTTCAATGTAGTACTATAAACAAAGGAGAGACCTTGTTATTTTTCACAATATCATTCACAAAGAGACGCATCTTTTCCTTTGACTCAAAGAATAAAAAGTAGGGCTGAAGAAATGTTTTAGTAGTAGAGGTAACGTTCTGCTGGAAAATTCTTGAAGATTCCCACCAGCAAAGGAACAGGTGAAGGTTTACAAACATTCGTTTCACTGCAGCAAAGAGCAATTCATGAACATAAGTAGGTTTTCAAGGTCAGATCACCCTCAACAAATATGCAAAAGGCTGTAGCAAGTGTGAAATACCTTGTCTCCCAGCAGCTTAGGTTTTGGACACTGTACAGAGCCCCATCTGAGGACCCATGACTGTATACCTCTAGCTAGCCTTGCAGAGTTTCCTATACACATACACTCGGCTGAAGCCCCATTTCCCATGGGGTACTAGTTTTTTTAATGGGGAGGAAGACGTATTTCACAGAAAAATTCAAATGTCAGCTCTTGGAAATAGTCAGGAAAACATACCAGCAGGTTGCACAATTGAAGTTGGTTTAGAGCTCTTGAGCCACCAACTCAATCCCTTCACCCCAATTGGTCTTTTTTGTAATAAAGAAAGTGACAGGAAAGTGCACAGGATAGTGTGAGATAACCCTTGTTTGATGCAATGTGAGTCAACCTAACCACAAACAAATCAGAATGAATGTTCAGTAAATAGCTGGTGTCATCTAATCTCCCTGCAAACAGTCAGGATGAATGATCAATGAGCCTAAAGGTGCATTCGTACCTTCGATTCATTTCTTCTATGTATGTCGTGAACTAATCTCATTAATACTCCATGAAGTATCCAGTATTGCAGCTGACTATGTCAGGCCTGAACTGAGTTCCCATAGGGATCAGGGACTCATATTTCATATGGAACAAATCCAGTATCTGTAAAGGTTCAGCCTCAACATCCATTTGCCAGCCCAGAAATAAAAATGATGAGTTAGGACTGGTATTGGGGCTTGCCTACTCCACTTCCACCTTTTCCTTAAAATGACCCTCTGGCAAAACCGATTGCTGGCAAAGGTTTTAAATATGGAAACTGCAATAACCTTTAAAAGGCCCAAATCAACATTTTTGACTTCATGAGGGAAAAGGTGTATGGTTGATCTCCCCTAAGATTAATCATGAACTGGAAATGTATCTGGAGTATTCTATTGTCCATACAGTGAAGAAGCCCCACCATGTAAAATTTAAGCATTATATCCTTACTGCATAGACTTAATAAAATAGAAACCATGGCCTCCAGAATCTTGTTAACCTAACCAAATCTAATCACAACTTCTAGGCAATCCCCATGGAAATGATCCCAATAGTAACATGCCCAAATTCCTTTAGTACTATCAGTATGTCATTCTTCGTGCTAAAGAGCTACCCTAAAACTGTGAGAGAAATCAATTAGCCAACAACTACTCAAAGCTTACCCATTGCAGATTATGCAGGTCCAAACTCCTATTCATGTGAACAGCTCTCTAGGTCTGCATTTTTCATTTGCATTCCATAGTACCAACATAGAATGAGAGTAGTTTGGAGTGTGGACTCTCACAAATGCAGTCAGTCAAGTATGTCCAAAACTGAACAAAGATCCGAAAGAGCCAAAAATGCTTAACTGGAACATGTTTTTGTCAGCAACCCTAGGACTGAATTTGTTTTATTGTCGCAAGTGTTGCTGATTTATAACTTCTGTCTTGGTGTATAAAATCCAATTTGTATACATATTGCTAATGGGCCTGCTCTAACTCTTAAAAGATCCTTCAAAATTATTTCCCAAAGCTGATCCACAGCATTATCAAGATAAAACCTATCACTGATAGTGGCAACCAGCATCTTCTCAGACATTTGAGTGATAGGGCTTGCATTAATCAACATCTCAGTGCATCTCAGTTTCAAACTTCACTCAATATCACAAGTGTTCATTGAGAATCACCACACATCTTTAAAGTTATTTGTATCATTTCATGTATGGTATATTCTGGTGAAACTGAGGCATAGCTGATGATATACTATAGATGACGCAAGAGCCACTATGATCTATTTTTGTATCTCTCATCCACAGTATGACATGGTCACCCACATTTAAATTGATATAGATATAAATAGATTATTAGACTTGTAGCTAAGTCCAGATGCCTCTCTACTGGGCTATACTTGCTCTCAGTATTATAAATCGCATTACATCAAACTGAACATTCATTATTCATTATTTGTGTCTTATGGATTGTCAATTTATGAGTGATTTTCTATTGTTGATTCATTTGGTTTGCGTGCTTGCTGCAACCAAATGTATAGGTTTATATGCTGTGAGTTTTTATTGGTTTTTTGTTCTTCTTTGATATGGAAAGTCTTAAAAAACTGATCTTAAAAGCCCCCCCCCCCCAATAGAATATAGAGCAGGGATGGAGAATCTCAGACTCATTGTCCAATTATGACCCTTCACATTTCCATGGACCACATTAGCCCAAGGTGAAGTCTGAAGAAACTGGCCACCTAAAGGCAGTGTCCACCATTGCCAACACCAGCAGCTGATGAATGCTTTTGCAAATAACTTTGTTCCAGAAGAAAAATGTGCTTGTTTCCCAAGCTGCAAATGCCACCGTGTGCCTGGGTGGGTTACAAGAACAGACGGAGTGAATTCTCCCCCTGGCTTTTTCTTCACAGCCTGCCAATGGTACTTGGCAGTAAAAGAGAATGTAGATGGAGAGAGGGAAGAGAGCTTCACTGTGTATGCATGTGCCTGTAAGAATGCTGTACTAATTCTATTTATAAATGAGAATATATGCATAGGCATGGGAATTCATAAGCAGATGTGCATGTAGTTGTCAGAGAGCTTGTGAGAAACTATATGTGTGCCATCATAGGAGCACAACCATACGTTTTTTCCTTGTGGTCTACTGGCCAGCTTCAGAATGGTAGCATAGGCCCTTTACTAAGAAGAAAGGTTTCCTATCTCTGACCTACAGGTTCTGCATAAACCAGTAGAGCCAGATGTCCCAAACAAAATGTTCACGCAAAGAATCATCCATGACATGCCCTTGGATTTTGGCTGCTTGAGAGCAAATGCTTCATTGCTCAGCAATATGTTAAATTTGTTTCTGAGCATGAATCTGTTTCGCCCAGAGTTAAAACATGAGAGTAATGTATAACTGGCAAGCAATGATGAAGACCAGAGCTATTTTTAATGTTTCTGGAAAGGGCTAGGCAGCTTTAAACTAATACCAGATGCAATTGTTGCCATTTTATTTATAATGTTTTAGTCCAGCTATGAATATCTCAAGAAAGAAGTGGGGGGAAAGAGAGACAGACATCTGGAGAAACAAGCCCACATAGGCACAATTCAAAGTCAATTAAAAATGACACTGTGAAATAGAGAACAATTATTAGTCTAATGAGAAACACACAGTGATGAGAGAACAGACAGGAATACCAGATATTATGACATGGAAGGTATGAATATGTGAAAAAAATACGACAGCTTTTGCCACTGCAACAAAGGAAAATATTATGGTCAAAGATACCCTTGATTGTGACACTTGTCATCGATAACATACAATAGATAATACTATTACAGCAGAATTGACTGGCTTGTATCTAAGTCATATGCAGAGTAGACACACTGGAATAAATGAACTTAAGTTAGTCATGCCCATTGATTTTGACGGGTCTACTTTGAATATAACATAGTTGGACACAACCCTATAAAACCTTTATACAACATATCCAAACTCACAGGCAATATGTACAGTGAGCTTCAACCCCCAATTGTTGGCACGGTGTGGGTAGTGGTCATGGCTCATATGTATTAGATGACATTGAGTCAAAACCACATAGGAAGCTGTCTTGGCCCATTGGCCCATCAAGCTCATTTATTGTCTATGCTAGCTAGCCGTGGTTTCTCTAGGGTTTAAGATAGGAGTATTACCTAGAGAGGCCTTGAACCTTGAACATGCAAAGCACATGCTCTACCTCTGAACTATGTTTCCTTTCCCAAACACACCCATTGAGAAAACCCAGTGATTACAAGGAGTTTGCATATGGGTGTTGTTTGCAACTCATGGCTGGGACTTGAATCTAAAAAGCTACATAAAGATCCAGGAAGCCCTTGATAGGCAGCCAAAATCCTGCTGCCTATGAACAAATAGCCATGGCCAAACTAGATCACTGACCTTAATGCCCATTCTGCTCAATAATAATATCATTAAATAATGGGAATTCCATGATCAACTACATAGAACTTTTGCAAATATTTAACTCAGATTGAAGGCTAAGGGTTGGTGAGGGAACTAAGATGGGCATCATTGCCATCATTTTCTCCTCATGCTGCATTTACTTCACAGCTGCAAGAGGTCAGCCATATACATATATACTTCTAAAAATGGCCAGTCAGAATACTGAATCTGGAGACAGTCACATTTTAGAAGCAGCAATCTCAGGTTCCTGACTTGCTATTAGTTGTTGGTGTTTCCTCTAAGCAATAACTTAACCCACATTTCTCGAGACAAAAGAATTGAGGAAGTCAAAATGTTTGGGGTCTTACCTCCACAACCTCCTCATATTCTTCTTCTTCCATCTTTGCAGAGTGTTTTTCCCCCTACTCGCTGGCCACAAGAGAGGTGGAAAAATGAACATCAGCGCAATGAACTCAATGCCACAGAGCATTAGCAATCAAAGAGAGGCATCCAAATAATGTACCCGTCAGCACAAGGATTTACCCCTGTGCCCCTCTCCTCCTCTTGCACACCCTCTAAATCTCTTTGAGGGGTTTCCCCAACCCCCCAGAACAGATTTACAGGGCACACACAAGATGAGGAGAGGCGAAAGCTCCATTGCACAAGTGTAAATCCTTGCCTGATGAGACTTGTTAGCTGGATACCACCCAAAACTAGGATATGCGTGGATTTTGTTATGCTGTTAAAATATCAGACTAATATAAATATACAGTATCTTATGAGAGAGAGAAAAAGGAAGCAGAAAATATGGTATCATTGCAAAAAGAAAAAAAAAAGTTACTAGTTGGATCTCATGTTAGTTCTACTCGTAGCGGACCCATTAAAATGAATGGGCGTGATCAATTTAGGGCCATTAATTTCAGTGGGTCTCCTTTGAGCAGAACTTGGTTGACTGCAACTCAATATTGCAAAGCATTGCAAAGCATCTTTCTACTTAGTTTCCAAACCATACAATTACCAGCTGTCTTTCCAAAACTATATAAAAGAACATACCGTATTTTTTGTCCCATAGGACGCTCCATCCCATAGGATGCACCTAGTTTTTTGCGGGTTGGGGAACAGGTTGGGGAACAGCGGGATGGCGGCGCTGCGCCTCCCCGCTGTCCCCCGAGCTTGTGGGGCTGGCCGATGTCTGCCCAGTGCGAGGGGCGCTCTGCTTCAGGGCGCCCCGCGCAGCAGGCTGCTATCCACAGCGTGGGGAGCCCTACGGGAACTCCCACAGGGCTCCCCACGCTGCGGATGTCTGCCCAGCGCAAGGGGCTCTCTGCTTCAGGGCGCCCCGCACCCCGCACGCCGGGCAGCAGGCTGCTATCCACAGCGTGGGGAGCCCTACGGGAACTCCCACAGGGCTCCCCACGCTGCGGATGTCTGCCGGGCACGCGGGGCGCTCTGCTTCAGGGCGCACCGCGCGCCTGGCGGCAGACTGCTATCTGCAGCCTGGGGAGCCCTGCGGGAGTTCCCACAGGGCTGTCTAGGCTGCGGATAGCAGCCTGCTTCCCGGAGTGCCGGGCGCGCTGAAAGCAGAGCGCCCGGCACTTCGGGAACACATCCGCAGCCTAGGCAGCCCTGCGGGAGTTCCCACAGGGCTCCCAGGCTGCGGATAGCAGCCTGGCACGCGGGGCACCCTGGAAGCAGAGCGGATGTCTGCCGGGTGCGCGGGGCGCTCTGCTAGGCTGTGGATGTGTTCCTGAAGCGCCGGGCGCTCTGCTTTCGGGGCGCCCGGCGCTCCGGGAAGCAGGCTGCTATCCGCAGCCTAGACAGCCCTGCGGGAACCCCGCAGGGCTGCCTAGGCTGCGGATGCTTTCCTGAAGCACCGGGCGCTCTGCTTTCGGGCGCCAGGCGCTCTGGGAAGCAGGCTGCTATCTGCAGCCTAGACAGCCCTGCGGGAACTCCCGCAGGGCTGCCTAGGCTGCGGATGTCTTCCCGAAGCACAGGGCGCTCTGCTTTCGGGGCGCCCGGCGCTCCGGGAAGCAGGCTGCTATCCGCAGCCTAGACAGCCCTGCCGGAACTCCCGCAGGGCTGCCTAGGCTGCGGATGTCTTCCTGAAGCCTGGAGAGCGAGAGGGGTCGGTGCGCACCGACCCCTCTCACTCTCCAAGCTCAGCAAAGCTCAGCATTCGCCCCATAGGATGCACCCAGATTTCCCCTTCATTTTTGGAGGGGAAAACGTGCATCCTATGGGGCGAAAAATACGGTGATTGTTTTTAAAATTAGACACTGGATTGCCTTAGTTCTTCCTTCTATATAATTTTCTCAGTTATAACTATATCTCATAGTCTATATCAGCACTGGGCAGAAAGCATATCAGAGAGATCTCTGGGTGATTTGTAGTAGATCGGCAATTGTTTTTGATACACAATGGTTCAACAACAGCAATAACAAAGTGAGTTCCACCCCACCCCCCAAATGAGGTGCCTGAAATGAAGAAAGCTCATCAGGAGGGGACTTTTATGCAAATGGACTGTGAGCTCGGTTTGGTTTTGGTACTGAAAGCAAATTCCTAGGCTTGGAATGTACGCTCTGTTCTTTCATTTGAACAACATGGGAGGAATTCAACACCATGCTAAGGCGATTGTTCCATCAAGGCAAGCATTTTGGCTTGCCAGACAGAACAACCCCCCTCTCCCCACCCCCTACACACTGTTCCAAGGGTTCTTCCAATTTTAGGGGTGCAGGGGAAGGAAGCCACACTGTGGAAGCAGAAGTCCTTGCACAGGGTTTCCACTGACACAACTCTTTAGTTTAATCCCACCCTATATTTTTTGCATATGGTTGGTAGATCTTGGGTTCTAGTGAAAAAAAACCCAACACACAGTGGACCTCATATGCCTGAAGTCCGCCCACCCCAACTCTAGGCTACCAATTTTTAATTGTTGAAACTCTGTCCTCTTTTCATACATCAGCCTTGCATATTTCTGGTGCTACTAAGTTGCATTATGAAAGTTACCTTTCACTTTTTGGCCTGTTCAAGAGTACAAGCAACATGGGATGGAGAAGGGGTATGTAGGGGACATGCGCCTCAGCCTGCAGCCTGTGTGCTGCACCCCAACACTGGACAGAAAGATTCAAAGAGGAGTTCTAAGCACATAGAGATAAATGCACTTAGAAACCTCCAACACAGTAAGGAACCCTGATAATGCAGGATTCCCAGTCACATCAAAGCTTTTAACTGCATAGAGTTGAATATAACTAAAAGCTTACTTCAGATCTTCTCACTCAGTTTCCAAAAGTCTCCTGTGAGTGTGAAGACACTGGGATGGGACTTGCAGATATGATGCCACTGCCCTCTTCACTCAAGAGGGCTGCTATATAAGTCAGCAACAGAATTTCACTGTTCTAGTTAGCTAGGCCCAAGGTCACCCAATGAGTTTCATGGCCAAAAGGTACTAGGTCCAGCTAAATCACACTGGCTTTTTTGGTGTCCAAACTGGAGGATTCTCCTAGTACTTAGTTCTAATCTATTAGAATGCCAGTAAGCAAGTATGTGGAGCTAACTAAGTGAATTCAAAATTGTGTCTATTTTCTTCTGTGACTAGGACATTTGTGACATGCAAAATAAGTTGAAGTATGAAGTATGTTTCTGGCCAAACAGAGCACCCCATATAATAAATGTGATTCTATTTTGAAGAACTTGTGGGAAACTTTCAGTCACACCCGTAGCAATTCCCAGGCATGCATCTGTTACCTTGTGCAAGAGCCTATAGGAGGAGAGAAATAATTGGCACCTCTCTGCTGGCAGCGGCTACCAGCACAAGACAAAACACCAGCAGTGGTTAATCCACATTAATCTTTTCTGGGTGGAAATATCACATGCAGTTCTGATCCATGGGATTACAGCCATAACGCTTTGAACTTTCTCTCCAGCAACCAGAAAATAAGTGTCACAGAACATGATGTTACCAGATGGGCAGGGTATAAATAATGAAATTATTATTATTATTACTGAAGTCAAATATGCTTGCTGAAGATTTGAGATGTAGGCCTTAAGAGTGGAGAATTCTCCTATCCAGTAATGTTACACAAACTTAGAAAAAGTCTCCTGCCTAGTCACCAAGGGTGAATATAAGTCGCCTGCAGGTGACTAGTCAAGGCAGCTTATCTAAACTAGAATAGTTAGTTCTTTCTTCCCAGCCTGCTTCCTTCTTTCAGACCATCAATGTCACACCATCATTTACATCAATATAAATGGCAGCCACTTGTTTTTATGAACAAATAACTTTTTTGGTCTTACTTGCAAGGCTGTTTTAACAATAGTCTAATTTCAGCAAACGTGCAAATTCAGCAATGTATTTCAAATGACCTTAAGTTAATGAAGTTAACTTCTGTCTTCCCACCATTGGCCTTTAAGGATTGTTTGCTTCTGTGCCTCTTTTCTTTATGTATTTTTCCTCTCAAACCTGGGAAATATAAAATGAATGAATGAATCCATTAGAACTGTGAATTCAGCAGGCCCTGCGGTGCCCTGGGTTTGCAGCCCCTTTTTCTAATGCGGGCAAGGACATGAAGGTTTGCAACAGCTGCTTCCTAGTTCAAATATATTTGCCATGTAAGTTAATACCTCAGAGCGATTGGCTGGTTTTGTTTAGCTAGCTAAACAGCAATTCCTTCTGAGGCAAGTGGCAATCCAGTACTGTGGGTTAAATATAGGCTCTTTAGACACTGTCCCTTCCTAGTGCCAATTTTCTTCAGTAAAGGTAGAATAAAATAAGATTTAAAAGTGGTGCCTCACCAACAAAACTTGCCAAAATTCTGAGGAAATAAAACACAAGAGCTACTTAAATAGGAGAACATTAATCTACCAAGTCCGTATGTTTTACCATCCCCAGATTACACAGCCAGGACCTCATCTCTCCTCAGTAAAACCTTATCCAATACAATCTCTTCCTGTCTTGCCTCACTGAAAATAAACAGATGCTCGAAAAATAAATGTTTATCAGCTCTTATTCTGATGGAAGTCCCAACAGGCCACAAAGTATTTGAAGAGACAAATTGGCCAAGATAAATTCTACAGAAAACGAAACAACACTTTAAAAAATGAACTTACCAGCAATATTTAAATAAATTTCCTTAGCAGCAAAGCCTCTCCAACTGTCCTCCCTCCTGAGAAACGCTGGGCAAAAGCAGCATTCATCTGATGCATCAGCTCCTAAATTATGATGTTCTTGGGGCAGCCAATCAGATTCGGTCTCGATCAAGTTTCAGATACTAAATATACAAAGTGACCCTTTGGACGGCCACCTGTTCAGCAGCGCCACAAAGGAAAGCAGCACATACTTGCCATTAGTCTGATTTCTAACCAAAACATTACAAGAGCATCAGCTCAGCCAAATTATGATTGCTGGCAAAATACGTAATATTACTGCAACAAGATTTGTACAAAAAAATTGAGGGCAATATTGCAGGCGGGGAGCAATGCCCACCTAGAGAACGCTGTGACTTCCCTGCTCTGCATGGTTTGTGGTGGCATTCTGCCAAAGGCAGGGAGGAGTCCTAGGATTAGTCCATGAGGAGTGGGGTGCTTGGTGCCTTGTCAACCTCAGTCTATCCTCAGTCAGTCCCCACTTGCCCACCTTCTTGCTGCTTTCTCCATCCTTAGTCTCAGCATTGCGCTTTTGGGACTCAGCACAGAGTAGGATGGAGACAAAGCTTAGAACTAGTTCTCAGCCTCTCACTGGATCTGTCCCACCTACTGTTGCTTTCTGCCCATGGACACCACTCACCATGGCCTATTCAGCCATTCAAACGAGTGCTGTGCTGAAAATTACTTCTGCATCACTTTGTAAGAAACGTTTTATTATGAAACAGGAGAGAAACGTTTGGTGACATTCTTGCAGTTGGGGTGCAGGGTTTTTCTTGGTGGCCAAGGATACTTTTGAATTTCCTTCCTTCCGCAGTCTTCCCAGATGCCTCCATTTTTCATTCTCTGAAAACCTCATGGCATCCAACTGTCAATTGTGCCCCAAATCTCAGGCAACTGGGTGAGCTCAGGCCTCTGATGCTTTTCAAGAGTGAGTGCCTTTGGCAGACTGTCCACAGAAAAGGGACTCGGCTCTATACATCATTTCATGCAGTGTGGGAGAATGATATAGGTAAGCCAATCAATACACCTAAACACCTCTTCCTTCAACTACCCTCTCCCGACCCTCCCCAACATTGGTGTGAAATAACTGCAGTAGAACCATTGTCGTCGTTTCAATATTTTATTGCTTGGTCGGTTTGGTTTTGAACATATAAATGTACATTCATGTCATTGTAATGCTGAAAATCAGTAGTATTGTTTTTTTTAACAAAATCAGTGTGGAAAGTTTAAGGTAAAAGAAAAGGCTTCACTTAGAAAAACAAAACCAGTGACTGCTCCTATCTCAGGCACCGAATGGCCAATCACACCGGCTTCACATACTTCCATCAAAGCTTGAGGATGGTGTCATGAAATATCTCCTGCAATGTGGAGGCAGGGAGTTCAGATCAGGGAGATGGCAGACATGTTTAATGGAAAGAAAAACACACTCACTACCCCAGCCCACTGAGAATATGAAGAAATTCTAAAATGTCTGGGATAAAGAGCCAGAAAACAACAACCAGAATCCTTATTCACAGAGGCTGAAAACTTTGAGAAATCAGGGAGCTGGTTTTAGCACAGTGCTAATTCAAACCGGGCTGTATTCTGGATTCAATTGAAACATGGAGGGGAGTAGAATGATTGCTGTAGTCTATAACTTCACAGAGGGGCTGCCAGATGCAGTTTTCCATGCACGTGTAGAAACGGAGAAGCCATGGCTCATTTGTCTTCTAGCTCCCTGTCAGCTAATCTGACTTTGTAATGTAATTCAGCAATAATTTATTTCTATACTCCGTGTCAATAGCACATCTGATTGATAGCACATCTGATTGGTCAGGCTTTTCAACCTATTCATAGCAATCCTCAATGTCAAGGATGGATAACCTGCGATCCTCTATATGTTGTTGGACCACTCCAACTTCCACCATCCCTGACCATTGGCCATGCTGGCTGGAGCTAATAGGAGTAGAGTCCGACAACATTTGGAGGACCATAGGTTCCCCATATCTGCTGTAGACCATTCCCATCTTGCATTTGTTCCAATATAAACACAACTTGCTCTTGCAACTGCCACTTGGGAGCAGATAGGGATTTGGGCACATATTGAAAAGGGGAGGAGCCTCTATAAAGAGGTGGTTCCATAGTATGGATCTCAGGGTAGTTTCATCATGAGAAGGGACAAGATACTCAGAGGTTGCAACCCATGGCCTGCTCATGTGTTATGCCAGTTTCCTTTTTGTTGCACCAATGGGGTTGTACCTTAAACTCACTCCCGGAGTTTGTATTATGGACAGGTCTGGTATCATTTATCCTGAGAGCTGGAAGAGTAAAGCAGAGTGAAGTTGGTGGATATGTAGGAAAATACTGGTATTCTGGGAGAGTATCCATGCAGAACTGCAAAAAATGCTAAAGATCTCTTTCAATAAAAAACCAGAGGCCTACCTCCTGGGAATAACAGATTTGGATATTCCACAAAAGAGGAAGCATATCTTTTTATATGCGACGGCGGCAGCAAGAGTTTTGATCGCAGCAAAATGGAAGAGTAATGAAATCCCCTCTATACAAGATTGGATCCAAAAGCTGACAGAATATGCCGAATTAGATGGTTTATCAGAAAAAACAAAGAATAAATCAAAACAGGAATTTGTTTCAAAATGGGAGGTTTTCAAAGAATATCTGAAAAATAAATATAGTAGTTTAAATTCTGTTGCAGCATTCGAGGAACTTCAGTAATAGTTGCAAGGTAGATATAAGAAATTAGAGATTTATTAAGAGTAAGTTTAATTATGATAAAAGTTGGCAATAATTATGATAAAATTGGCAATAAGTAATATGAATTTGAAATATGGAATAGATGGAAGGTTGGGTCTTTAGTGTTAAGACCAATAGATGTTTTATTGTTTGCTAAGAAAATTATGTGTCTATGGTTATTCTTGTGTATAATTTGGTATTTGTGTTTTTATTCTTTTTTGTTGTATCAATAAAAAACTTTGTATCAATAAAAAAAAGGAAGAGTAAAGCAGACACCAGTAAGCTCTGAGTTGAAATATTGTATGAGCCGTGAATTCCGAAGTTGACTTTGAAGGAAGCCATTGTCTGTTTGCTTCACCCCGTCCATGAGCAAAGGATATTTCGGTGCTTCTTTTTGCTTAGCATAAGGAATACAACCAATCAGGGATGATTATACTCATATGCATGACGTATTCAAAATCAAGTGACCAACTTATAATGCCTGACTACGAATATCCTCTCTCACTCAACCACAATGTTAAAGCTTTACTTACATCCCAGAAGCTTCCTGATTAGCAGGTTGAGACACACACTTGAGTGACACCACAGGACTTTAAGATGCTTCAAGACAGATGCAGAACGAGCCACCCATAGCTTAAGACGTCAATAAGCATGTGCACACGGTGACCTCATAAAAGTCTTTTGAGGGATGAATTCAGTTTCCAAATTTAAGACATGGATAAAAGCATTCTCAATTACGCTAAGTTTTGTTCCAAAGTTTTCTCCCCAGATCCACCAGGAAACCCATCAGCAAGGTGAGATTTGTTCAACTGCATTCAGTCCTTCTCCTGTTGACCTGTACTCCAAATAATACACTATCAGTGGTGGTCTTAATGTGAGTGGGTGGGTGCTCCTCTCCTCCACCATGACCTTCAAAACATGTGTATCACAGTCTCCCAGCCAGTAGTATCCAATGTCTTAAAGTTCCCGTTTGTATGATTTCTTGCTTCTCCCCACCAAGAGGACGTATTTATAGGATCACTTTAGGATCATGCCTAGCATTAAGGTCATGTATGTGGATGAATACATGCATCCAGTCAAACAACAAAAATTATAGGAACCTAGGAAGCTGCCTTGTACTGCATCAGACCCTTGGGTCCATATACTTCAGTAATGTTCACTCTGGCTCTCCAAGGTTTCAGTCCGAGGGCATTCCCAATCCTGTCTGGAGATGGCAAAGACTGAACCTGAAACCTACTGTATGCAAAGCAGTTGCTTGAACACTGAGCTACAATCCTTCCATTGTCAGATTTGGAAAGAATCAATCAGATCATCTAGTCCCAGGTTCAACATAGCAGCTTCGCTCTTCAAGTATCCCTGCTTCCGTTTGCATTGGACAGGCAAGAGGAACCCTACTTGGGGGCCATTCATCCACAGAAGGGACGTTTTCAGCAGGCTTGATGGAGTCCCAAGGTTTTCGGAACAAAAAACTTTGGGGGGGGGGAATCAATGAGGACTGAGCATGTTCAGTGGTGATATGATGCTGAATGTCTGCTGGAAGGAAAAGTGGGAAGGGGGCTGAGGAAAAGGAATGGAATGGAATGTTCTAGGAAAGGGCATGACTTGCTGGCTGGCTGGAGCACATCACACAACCTTTTGTTGTGGAACCGATTGTATTGGGACCTATTGTATCCACCTAACCCCTCATCTAGGCTTGTGGCCACCACCATATATTGTGCCGTGTAGCAGTAAATTCTCTAAATTATATGTTATGTGAAATATTTTCCTGTGTCTTTCCTGGCAATCAATTTCATTGATTGTACACCAAACATTTTCTCATCATCTTGCATCATTTTTCTTATAATCATACATAATTTTATAAAGTCTCCCTTAGTCATCTTTTTTTCCTAAAATCGAAATCCCCAAATGCTTTCGTCTAGGGATGGGGGACCCTTCACATTCTGCTGTAATACAACTCCCATCATCCCCAACAATTGGCTTCAGTGGATATGGCTCCGCAGGGACACAGGTTTCACCCCCCTCCTTCAGTCTATCCTCTCAGGAAATAGATCCCAACCCTCCTCTAAGTCTGATTTCTCTTTTCTGAAGCATTTTCAGCTTCATGATACCTATTTGAGGTAACATGACTAAATGATGCACCCAAACCTGAAACTTATGAACCCCTCTTTAATGCAAAACAGCCCAAAAAAGCTAAGCACAAATGCTTTATCTAAAGTAGTTTGATTAATCAATAACTTTAATAAAACACAGATCTATGTAAATAATATCAAAAACAACAAGAAGTACTAATTGCTTACCAGTTTGGTGCAGACTTATTTTTCACCCAGTCCTTATATAAGCAATTGTGTCAAAATATCTCCAGTACATTTTTCATCAAATCTTCACATGGAAGAGACTATGGAACTTCTTGAAAAATAAATTCGGAAGTGAAGGCTGAAGATCCTTTCAGAAACAAGATCCTGCAGGCTTCCCCCCGTGGCTTACTCCTAAGTAAGTGTTCTTTAACATTGGGACACCAAAACAAGCTTCATTTTATTGCTCAAGTAATAGTAGTAATTATTATTGTGATAATTAGTAGTAGTAGTACCCCGCCCATTTGACTTAGTTGCCAGCTGATAATACTATGATTTCTGTGAGCTTAAAATGAAAAACTGCATATGCTCATAATATTTGATTAGGATGTTTGACAAACTTCTCTCTCTCTCTCTTTAACCTATCAGGCATACAGAAACAGTTTAAAGCATGGAAAGTCTGTGTGACTAGAAGTAAATCTTTAATTGTGTGCTGCTGTCTGGTAGAAAACTATTTTCCTAGGTAAGGAATACTGCAGTTGCAGAGACAATGCAATAACTTTTCAAGATTGAGGGGAAATGAGGACTGGAAACGGGATGGAAAACACATTGATTTCATAATGAACTCTGAATAATAATGAATAATCATCTGTAGAGAGGCTGTTCTCTAGGAGCCTCTAGAAACAGGTTTGATTGGAAGCAATAGGGGAAAGAGCCTCCAGCCTGGTTGTGGAATATTATTTCCAGGAATAAATAATGGAACTATTAGCATTGCCTTCTGTACAGGAGACCAGCAGCGCCTATGCCTATTCCAATATTCACTTAAATATCAGTTTTTAATATTTTCAAGTATGCTTGCATAGCTAATGTTGTCAAACAACAACAAAAATCAAAGGTTTACAAAGTAATTACCCATTTGCTTCCATCACTATCAAGCTCCAGCTTGAATATTGAAGCAGAACTTGATAGTGGCTTAATTCTACTCAAATAAATTTAGGCTCGTAATCAAAACAGTGAAGATTTATTTTCAGTTTCCAGCAAAATACATTGCAAACTACTAGTAGCTCATGTACTTCTCTTCACAGTTAACTTTTCCAGCTGAATTATTTTAAATCTTCTTAAAGAAATAAGCATGGGATTTTGATTTTGATTTTCTAAGGCAAGGGGAAGGACTTCATGTAAAAAAATAAAAATCAAATATTAGCAAATGCACTGATATCAGGTGCTTGGTAGCCAGCTTCTACTGTTTCCCGCACCTCAGTTAAAGCTCACTAGAGACAGCCAAACCTGTGAATTTCTGTTTCTCATTTTTCCAAGTTCAACTTGCTACATTTCCACATTTAGTTAGCATTTTTTTAAAAAAAACTCAGTCCTAACAAAAGTTAATCTGCATTTTAATTTGCATTACTCCAATTATACACAAATCTTCAAGCAGTTTTCCCCAGTACAATGCATTTTTTTGTACATCTTCCCAAAGATGTGCATTTTTACGCACATCTTTGCACAATTCCAGAATGGAAAAATGCATGGGAAAATTCAGAGAAGCGCAAAATTTGAAGGATAGCTAGCTGCATTTTAAGTTCACATACTGCTTAGGGAAGTGTGAATTAGATACGCTTGCTATTAAACGTGAGCTAAATAAAGAAAAAAAAACCCCATCCCTATGCACACACTGAAAGTGCCCTGCAATTAACGCAGAAAAACATAAGCCTCTTTCATGCAGGAAGAACACCTTTGAGAAATTGGAAGATGGGTTTCAGCACAGCACTACATTTCTTAAGCCTTGTGCTCAGAACAAGGTTTTCTTGTGTTTTCTACAGGGTTGAGTATACTCAAGCTTCATTAAACAACACTGAAGTTATACCACTGACTCCAACAGGAAGCAAATCACACTCATTGTCCGCTTGCTGATTTTGTGGGTAAATCTTGAAGGCTCATTTGGTTTCTGGCAGAAATGTTTGGCTCTCAAGTTAAACATAAGCAGCCAAAGTGAGCAGCTTGGTGGCTTTAAAACTGGGCTGAGGCCAACTGGATTCTGAAGCTTGCTGTTGAGCCAAAGACAGGCGAAGGTAAGAAATCTTTGGCCTAACAAATGGGGGGGGGGGGGCAGGATTCAGGTAGTTGATCCATGGAGAAAGGTAGGTGGGAATTCTAAAGCAACAATAATCTAACACCTGGATTAGGATCAACTGAAACATTGCAACAACAACAAAAAAGTTAACCAGAAGATATCTGCCTGAATCTTCGCAGTTCACTTTGTAGTGTCTCACTTAGGCTAAAATTCTATACTCTCTTCTGGGATTTATTTACGAGAAGACGCATAGGATTGTAATGTTAAAGATAACCAAGCTACCGTTGCATTTGACCTAACAAATAATAATATTTTCGGGATACAGTCATCTACCAACAAGAAAAACGCACAGAAGCTGGTGCAGATATTGCAATGCTAATCAGCACAGCATGAAGTGGGTGAAACTAGCATTTTATTGCTGCTTATCACAAGAATTGGATTGGGGTCATTTACCCATATATCAACCACAAACACGTCTGACTGCCCCTGAAACAGGAATTCCTTACATGAATTTTTACTTTATAACTTCCAAGTTCACTACAATGCAATAAGATTTCGATTGCAAAAATAAGTGAATGAACCATTCATTAGCATGGTACAGCCATCCTGCCAAGGAAACAAAACAGAAAATTTATTCCCGTGTAACATCATTTTATTCTCCCTCCCCCAAATATCAGCTCTCTAAATATTCAGCAGTGTTAAATGCATCGATAAATTGCTAAGCACGTCAGAATACTGAGCGCTGCAAAAGGTGATCAAAAAGGCTCACCACAGTTCTCCCAAGGAAATTCATGGGTTTCAAAGTAAGCTTGCTTTTTAATTAAATGCAAGTGCCTGCTATGTGTTCACGGGGGTCACTTTCTGCATTCCACAGCACTAAGCAAGCATGAATTCTAGCACTGCTATGCATAAGATGGCAGACAGCCTGATACAAGGCTGGCTTATTCACCAGCATAGTGCTGATACTGTCTTTTCCGAAGACCAGGGAAATTCTACACCTGGTCTTGTCAATTCTTTTTTTTTTTAAAGGCTAGGCAGTGATCAGTGGTCTGCCCCATTGCCCGTGCAATAATTGCAAAGAAAATGAATGAAAACACTCCCTGGTGCACATTAAGCAAAGCAGGAAGCCTACAGGCCTGCCACCAAAGCTTAAAATGCTACACCATAACAGTATCATGTTTTCTGAGTATGACAACTGGGAGGCATTTCTGACTGAGAAAAGGGAGATCAAAAGCAGTCATGACGTGGGCTTGATATCACGCAAGGGTTGTTAAAATTTCCAGAGTCATCTGGAAGGGGCGTCAAGGGAGTTGCTGAAGGACAACAAACTTTCGACTGGCACCAAGGCGAGTGGAAATGAAAAGGTATGTCTGCTCCCCCAACTATTTCCACTTAGAAGGAAACCCCCCTCCTCATCTGCCAGTAGCATTTACAGCCAAGACGCTCTGAGAAACATTGCTGGCAAACAGCAGTGCAACAATAAAAGTCACATCTTTGTTTTGCAGGCTGAAAAGGTACAAAGCAAGCACAATATTTACAACAGAGTGGATCAGAGTAAAACTTTGATCCATCATGTTACCCTGTTGGCTTCTTTAGCAATAAACCACACAGCCTTATTCAGCTGTTTGCTCCTGGGTGCATCAATATTAGATGAGGAACAGGAATTATGGCTGAGCAAGGGTTATAGAATATAGCCCATAGAGACCAGAGCTTCAGCTGATGCTCATATTATGCCTCACTTAATTCAATTGCCTAAGGAAAATGTGAGACATATGGATTATGCAGCATTTTGGCTTACAGAAAAAAATGTGTGTAAGGGGGCTATACTGAAAAAAGAACTACACTGTGCACACAGAGAATATGGAGACCTGGACAAATACCGTATTTTTCGCTCTATAAGGCGCATCAGACCACAAGACGCACCTAGTTTTTGGAGGAGGAAAACAAGAAAAAAAATATTCTGAATCTCAGGAGCCAGAACAGCAAGAGGGATCACTGCGCAGTGAAAGCAGCAATCCCTCTTGCTGTTCTGGCTTCTGTGATAGCTGCGCAGCCTGCATTCGCTCCATAAGACACACACACATTTCCCCTTACTTTTTAGGAGAGAAAAAGTGAGTCTTATAGAGCAAAAAATACGGTATATAATATTTTCTTATTAAGTTGTTCTGTTGTGTTACGCTGGTTTTTTAACGAACTTATTTCGCCTAGCTAACTATTCGGTTCTTACAGTTTTGTTCCCAGGATATTACAATTATAATTGTAATTAGTGGTAATTTGCAATCAACCAAAATGAGACATGACAAAAAATATGCCCACTTTGGAAGTCCAGGAGCTGGGGTGGGTAGAGAAGAGAGCCAGGCCATGGCATTTTACCACCCAAGGATTTGCAATACATGATCCAAGAGACGAATCATAATTTTGTGTACCATTCTTAAGTCATTTTTATTTACAGTGCCAAATTACCAAATAGGCAGAGTAGACACTGGCCTATGGGTCCCACAACAACAGATCAAAATAATATTGATTTGATCTTGAAAGAAAATTACAATCAAGCTGAATATAAGCTTTGAGATAATTGGGGGGGGGCAGATTCTGACTGCCTGGGGACCTCCACAGGGTTTAATCCTGCACTGTTTTATTTATTATTGTAAATTCATGAGTTAACAAAAACAAGTCAACTTCTCTGCATAACTCCAAGTTCTAGTATTGCAAAAGAATGAGGGAGTTTATCACATCTTCTGCTAAAAACAAACTCATTTCCCAAGTGTAGTTCTTATACACCGTGGCACAGCCGGGTAATATTAGACCCTGGACCGCCAGTCTGGAGGGGTCCCCCCTTGAGACAGCCATGTGCCTTAACTGCAGCTGTGACTGCATATTCATTGCTTGTGTGATTGCTATGCACTGTGCAGTTGCAAAAGTGTCACAGGTCCCCAATGGATAGTGTGATGCATTGAGCGGCAAGCAACACTTTACCTTACTGCACTTTGTGATGTTATTAGTATCTTCCCTTGATTCATGGGAAATACGTAGTCTCCAATTAAGTCTTCTTTAAAGTGGCAAGCGACCAGCAAATCTATTTCTTTTCCATACCACTCCATTGCTTTATCAATCCTTTTTTTGGCAGGATCGTTTTTCTGTTTTATTTTTGGTAATTCCTTGAAGGCTGTATGGGCATGCTTTCCTTCTCTTGCAGTGCATGGTGTGCACATCTGAAAATATTTTGCGTGTCCATCTCTTTGTAATAATTTCTTCTTAAGTCAAGCACCAAGATTGAACAAAAGAGGCTGTACAGCAATTGAATTCATTATATGGGAAGAAACAATCCAAACTATGCTTCAAGCAAGGTGAGCCCCTTTCTTGCTTGCAGTCATATGCCTTGAGCCTCTTTTTGGTGGAAGATCTCATAATTTGATAGAAGAATATGGAATAGCAGTTATAATGCAGCCTCATTAAGCTTTCCATAGCTATTTCCCTAATACTGGAAGGAAGCATTCAAAAAGCAACAGTACCAATGTTGTACTTGAGACCACCACAGAAACCTCAGAACTAAGGCTGTTTTCATCCACTCCCAACTGTCGTCTGCCAATCTGAGGGGCTCTGCAACTCTCTCTAACTTTTATGCATTAGCTAAATTGAGTTATCTCTGGGGGAAAATATCTCACAACAGCCAAAATGAGGTTCATCTAATTTTCTACATGAAGCATTGACTCCACATTTACCAATGAGCAAGCAATATTACACGTCCCCAGAGGTTAAAGAAGAAACAACCAACTTGTAAAGCTGTCTGTTTCTCTTGTGCATAAAGGCCCGGAGCCATATCTGTCCACAGATTAAGTTTTCCCAGGATGCAACAATATTTTGCTTGTTTTGAGTAATCTTTGAATAATCTGAAGATTGTGAAACAATATACCCAATAAAATGTGACTTTAGCTCCGCTTTCCCTCTTGCTCTGCCTATTATACAATCAAATGATTCTTATTTATAGCAAAAGTGTCACTCACCGTGCGAGCTGAAACAGCTGCTGTAGTTGTCACAAAAGGTTTCCAATACTCAAAATTGTTTAGCAGCGTCAACAACAACAAGGCAGCTGCTACAGTCCCCATTACACAGCAGATTCGTTTTATCTCGTGAGCTCATCCCACATTTACTAGGGAGTTTCATTCTAATTGCCAGAAGAGTCCAATGACTTAGTAGAGCTGGCAAGAACGCGCTGCCCCACAATGTGAACCAATTTCTCCGAAATGAGCTAAAACTGATAGCTTGGAAACAGGCTAAATTCAAGCCACTATCAATTTAGACATCAACTTTTGGTTTCTCCTGCAAGCTCCTCTTCACCAGCTTTTGGTACTATAAAAACTGAGAATTGACAAAGACCTTTTCTTTGGAAAGATCAGTTTAATAAAACTGCCAATGAAACACAAGTCTTGTTATACTTTGGAGACAGCGTTATATTCAGGGCATGAAGCCAATTCAGAGTGGTATTGGTGAACAAAGATATTGATTCAATATGGACAAACAAGAGGTTCAAGAGATAATGAGAATAAGCCAATTAGAGGGCAGAAATGCTGAGAACATGTGGGTTCTGAAAACGGACAAAATACACATGAATAGGTGTGTGTCAATCAGAACTTTTTCTGTGGTTTATTACTGTAGGCCATGCCATGAGTAAACCTTAACATGAAAAGCTAAACATTATGGACTTTTCTTGACCCTGGTACCAGTCTTATCTCAAATATGCATCTTGAGCTCCTAATACTTTGTGTAAAGATCAGCAGATGCAAATCTAATCAACACCACCTATGAAAGAATGCTGCACAGACCAATGGTAAGATACTTTTAAAAAAGGAAACAGTTTAGTCATTGCTCGCCAAGGATTATATTCTTTCAACTTTCAACTAAGCAGAGTAAACAAAATAGGGAATAAGCAAGAAACTCAGATTCAGATAATTTAACTCATCCATCTAGGCAAATGCTGGCCCATCCTGAACTGGATTTCGGAGGTCTTGTCTACTACTACCAATTAAGATTCAGGTGATATGGAATAAATATAAAACCTTATACTTGAAAAGTATTTGCTTGACCACTGAGCTGTTTTTCCACTCTCAAAATTCAGTCCATCTGATAAATGCAGCTTAATGATGCTATTGTTTTTAAAATCACCTATTTCAAGACAGGTGAAAATCCATTTGTTGAACTATGTTAGGGCGCAAATCTTTTCCTCCCTATTACAAGCATTGCAAACTACCTTTGAAGCAGCATTTAGTAATTTCAAGATTCATCATCTAAAAATAGACTGAACCACAGTCAGAAAGGAGGTGTTACACCCCCAAAGCATCTAACATTTTGTCTACATATTCTTATGTATATTGCTTCATATTTCCTTCACCTAAGGAAACTAACATGACCTACTAAAACAAGCCACATATTACTGCCCCTTGAGTGCTTGACAATTTTTTTGGAGTCGCCACCTGCGGGCAGCAATAAAAACAAACAAACAAACAACGCTTGAGTCCCCTGAAGGTCACAATATGGACCGGTGAACTACATTTGATTAGTGTCACAAATTGTGCTGACTAGTTTTACAGGATAAGAGAGCAGCAGTCTTACAATGCCTTTGTAATAATCTGTTTATTTACAAATGTACACACTGAGTAGGCAATACATAGGCACAGAAGGAAGCATGCTGGCAGGGCTAGTAAAAAAAAGAAAAAGTATTAAACTAAATGCCAAAAACCAGTTCTACCACCAGCCAAAATCTAGAAACTGCTTTTTCCGCTTACCTTGGATATATTCTTCAATCCAGTTGTATGCCCCTATGACTCTACTGGTTGACATAAACCTGGGTACATTCCAAGGTAGCATCAGACAAAGAGTACTCAAGCTGTCCATTAAGGAAATACCTATGGTCCACCTCAATCACATGCTCTGCAAAAATCACAGGGCATGCTATCTTTTCACTCTGCAAAATAGAACAGCAGGTAGGACCATATAACTTTTACACTTGATCTTGGCAATCACAGACACACTCACAAAATGGTGTACACTTTTTCTTGCACACTAGTAGAAAATGTTGTGTGTGCTAAGCAGCCCTTAATCCATTGGTGTTAGTGTTATGGGTAACTTGACTTATAAAGACAGAATGCCATCCAGAGCTCTCCAGCTAAGTTCCCGAGCAATAGCAGTAATTTCAGTTTTAAATTCATGCACATACATAGGCATTGTTGTTTTCCTCTACAAAGCTTATTTTGGACAAAAATATACACAAACATGAAAATGGGCTTCTGCTTCACATATAACCACAAAGAATTGATGGGTAACTTCATACCCTTATCCCAAAATAAGAGTGACTAAGTGAGGGCTCTATGTTAAGCTCTTTCCTAAGCCCTCCCAGGGTGTCTGACTGGCAGGAGGCAAGGTATCTACCCACTGCTGCTAATGCCAATCCATGAAATACTTACAAGTTGTGCGAAAAGCTTTTCCTGTATGTTGTTAACGCTGAGGGTCAGCCAACCAATCTAAGATAGGCACTGCCAATGTGTTTCTAAGTGTTTTGCTTCCCTGGAGACTCTGGTACGCACTAAGACTTTCCTAAAAGTTTATATTGCCCTGCAACCTTCCTTTTCATTTAATGTGTTTGCTCTGCTAGTAAAGGAATCAATTCTCAAACTTAAAAAAAACACACACGACAGAAGCTATATTAACAGGAGGGAAAGCTTATATTGTTCAGGAAACACATTACTCTCATACAGTTATTGTGATCATAGAAGTATGGGGTACTTAATATGTAAATTTAATTTGGTAACATGGATATATTCCCAATGTTAATGCATTTTAGTTAAGTCTTGTAAAGGACAGTTTTGCTAAAACAAAGAATTTTAAATATGTTCCAATCATGCATTTGCAGATAAAATAAAATGTCTTGGCTAGGATTCTGAGAACCATGCAACTAGCCCCAAGGGGCTTCAGACTTTTTTCCTTCAAGCAGCTGCGTTTTTCATCTCATTAACTGCTTTTGACAAGTGACAGGGCATTGGGGGTGGGGGTTAAAAATGTTCAAAGAAAAGTAAAAGATTCCAGTGGGCTATCACATGGTCCTTAATTCAACTAAGTATCTTTTTGCGTGCTCTGGTCCATGGGGTAACAAAGAGTCGGACACGACTAAACAACAACAATAGAATGCAATTGCTCCTCTTGTAAAACACTGATGCACCACCCGCTTAATGGCACTGATACTGCGTGTGTGTGTTTTGTAAGAATTTAATTGTAAAAAGCATTTGGGGATATAGTAGAAACCAGCCAACCCACAGCATACAAACCTAGTTTATTCATCCGCCAGATTCCAAGAGCTAAGAGTAGTAATTTCGAGAAAATTTGACCCAATTTTGTCATTTAGGAGCAAATTGTACTTAACGGCATTTTTAAAAAAAGGAAGAAAAAGGTTTTCCAGTTTATCAGGTGCTAGCTATATATTTGCTTCTAAATAACACAAAAGCCTGATAAAAAGAATAGGCACAGTGTTCAGAACACTAAAATCATACTTCAAATCTTTCAGAAGAATTACCATCCTTTTAAACAGAAGCAGTATTATTTTTTCTACATTATATGGCACCTCTTCAAATCACTGTCCCCACCACCATCAACCTTTACAATGTTGACTGCACATGGATTAAGAAGGAAAATAACAATTTATTCACACTGCTCAATACCCTGGGAGTTTTGCAACAGAGTCAGGTAAAGCTGTCAATTGTAGTTCGTATGGATTACAGGATTCTTTCCGTAAGCCAGAGAAGTGCTTCATAAGTAGAATGCACTGTGCTTAGACTTCTGTTTCTTTAAGGGCCATCCCACTCCAATCAATATAGCAAAATACTTCAGATATTCCTAGAGAATTTCAAAAGCAGTTTGCTATACAGGATAGCGGTTTGCTACCAACATAGCTATCTGGATTTTAACCTCTGCCTCCTATAAAGTAATAATTGACTTGGCCCAGATGTAGTAACTAAACAATTTATAGTCATGACTTTGCTCCCACTGAAATCAATGAGACTTAAATGCAACTCAGTCTGGATCAAACTGTGTCCCACTATCAGTTATAACAAATATATTTCACCTGAGAGGTGCTTCAAATGGGGGTGGCCCAATTAAAAATCCACAGGCATAAGTATGTTTTTAAACTATACTGCATATTCCAAGCTATTTTCTCAGCCAACTTCATAAAAATGTCAACTTTTAAACTTCCCTCAACCTTTTTCAATTTTATTTTATTGTTTAGTACAGCTAGATGCCAATATTAAGCCGTATAAAACCTTATCAATAATAGACCACGTCATGTTTCTTTTTATGGTTATTTTTAGGTGCAAAATGTATATAAAACAATCTTAAAGAATTTTACCATCCCCAGTGGCATGAGAATAGCATACAGAATATGACAAAATACAAATGATGTGTCAGCAGTAACCCTTTTAGTACTATTTTTCACAGTCCAATTAAAAAACAGATTAGAGTACTTTCAATTCCGAACAGCCTGCTCTTATGGAGTCTAACTGGACTAAAAAGCCCGACATCCACATACTGTTGTGGATCTCAGCATCAAGAATGCTGACAAGAGTCAGTGCTATTTGCTGTTCCTGTACCGATTTCAATCAACCTTAACATGAGGTATAAGTATACAAAGTGTACAGTACACATACAGGGGGGGAAATTGCACTTTCTGAAACACAGCCGAGTAAGTTTCAATACTGGAAGTCAATACCTGTGCCACTGATTTTCTTTTCTGATTTGCTGGAATAATAAAGTCAACATTTTCAACTGGATGAATTAGACTGGAATAATAAAATGTAAAAGTTAAAATTCCTCCTTTTCTTTCTCAATCCACACATTATTTATTAAACAGTTTCAAGTGATTTCACTTTAAAGATAAGGTCAGCTGTAGTATTTGAACTCCACCCAGAGGAAGCATCTGGAAAGCCAAGTTTGAACTTCAAAATATTTTCTTTCCGTCGGAGGTGGCTTTAGTGTGTTAAGTAGCAAATAAAGTAGCAAATGAAGTTTTGATTTTATAAATACACATAAGCCATTAATTCACAGCTGTCAAGATGACCAAACGTCCAGCACTTTTTTGGTACAATGTCTGTGCAGAATAAAAATCATCTGATCTTAAGTCTTGACATCATCCATTCCAGTCCTTGGCACAATCTGCAAATGAAACATTTAAATTCAGAAAAAAGTGGTTACTTCCTTGTTTATATATACATACATAATCTATGTATGAGAAACTTCAACCTCTGGCCATTCAAATATCGCCTTAAAAGGTAGCTTCAAAAACCACTGTCAGCCAGCACCAAAACATTAACTGCAATATGGGAATAACAATAAGCTTCTTGTACCATGAAAGATTGTTGCAATGATTTATCAACTAGTAACTGGCAAAGACTTTTTTAAAAAACTGGAACTTTTAAAAATATTGTCCATGGACATAAAAAGATTATCAATATAGGTGGTGACCATTTTGCCCTGCCCCCATTCTGTCCTCTTCTGGGTCCAAAAGACCGTCATGCATAATTTGGATATGCACAAAATGGTTGCTGCTTGTACATGGGTTTGTGGACAGTTGGGCTAGTGAAATGCTTCAAGGGCTAGAAACTTTTGCATTATCCTTTGGAAGGCTAAATTATTACTACAATTAAAATATATGGAGTGTTGTTAATTGATGCCGGTTCCATTTGTTTATCCATTGGTACACACAAGTGCAAAGAAGAGATACTTCATCTAACTGAAACACCTGTTTTCCCTACTATTGTATGTGCCATTTCTGTGCTTTTAACGAATTACAAAAGCTCTTTTTTATATTCCACCAAAAGCTATCATTTACCTGTTTTCCACTGTATCCTTAACAGTTACATAAAAGATAGAATTTTGGTGAGCCCAGAATTCTTCCATCTACACAACTGCTAAAAACAAGGGAGCCATAAAGGCTAACTCCCCTTTGCTTCATATTTCCCATCATTTACCTCTCCCCTCAACAGCTCATTATGCTTTAAGGACAAATTCTTCAAGATTTTACTTCCTACCTATACAAATAGAAAAACCATGGAAAGGTGAATATATGTTATATGATAATAATATATGAATAAAATATATTTGGGTAGATTCCTTACTTTTTAGTTCTGTAAAAGGAAAGTATTAACTGGTGAAATGTTATCATATGGAGACAGTGGGAATAAATTTACCTAACTGGTTTACTAAGTATTGCTCTTGATTAGTTGCATGTACCAGATCTGTTCAGAAAAGTATCGATGAACCAAAGACTTCTTACCCTTCGCCAGTAAGAGCACAGCATGCCTGGATGTGCCACTGGTGATCTTTAATTGAGGTTAGCTTCAGAAACTGAGAAATTTCAGCTACTGTCATGCAGTCTTTAACATCCTGTTTGTTAGCAAAGATGAGCAAACCTGCTTTTTTCAAGTCCTAGAGAGGAAAAAAAAAGAAAATGTCTCCAATTTGTTTCCCCATTAGTCAACATGATAAGCCAGCATGATAAATAACACCTGCTTTTTTAAAATGTAAAGCCACACTACGGTGGTCCCATGCAACCTAATGGTGTAGAGGCCAACCCAAATAAAGGTGACCTTCCAGCAATTCTAAGAAAGGGGGAATTGATAACTCTATCTTAGAAAAGAATAAGCTTCCATTGTGCCTAGAAGGAACTAGGTTCACTGTTTTGGGGAAAGCTTTGAGGTTCCCTGAAACTGCAGTACAGTATTTGGCTGGGGTAGGGTAGATCCCAAACTGGTCTGTATAGTTTCAGGGCATACTTACCAGAACACTGGCTTATTTACCACCACCACACCACCCCAAATCCCACATTTTGATGACACCATCTGTGACAGGCTTTCTGTTCACCTCCAGTACATTAAAAACTAAAACCAAGGTCAACAGAGCAAGAGATCTGACTGCCACTATGTTTCTCCACTCCCTGCCTATGTTCCCAGGAGGTGCTAGATGTGAAGAAACATGGCAGCAACCAAGAGTCCTTGTTTGCAAGCACTATAGCCTTAAATGCTGGGGCATGATTAGGAAGCTGGCCTATCATTGCCATCACAGGCACCAGGTTTTGAAGGTTTGAAAGAGAAACAATGAGGAAGCTGCTAGAATGAGCAAAAACAGGTGTACAGTGGTACCTTGTTTTGAGTCCAGGATCCATTCCAGAGCTCCAGACACTCGACAAAGCGTCGCTCTGCACACGCACGCGGAGCGGTTTGCGCTTCTGCGCATGCACGACCAGCAAACCCGGAAGTAACCAGTTCCGGTACTTCTGGGTTTGCCGTGGACGTCCGCCGAAATGGATGCTGGACGGGGCGGACTTATACAGAGGTACCACTGTACTGATTTTCCCTATGTAAGTTTGTTTTCTCAGTCCTATGAACCTACTTTATTTTTAGTAAATACACAGAAATTAAGTTCAAGTGGATTTTTTTTTTATATCACCAACAGTGTCCATTGATCCCTCTTTTTTTGTGTTAAAAGTCACAAGCGCAACTTTACAAAACATTTCTCCCTTCCAACACAGAATGAAGTAAAAGCTGGAGTGAGGAAAACCTAAATAAAGGTTTTATAGTAATATACTGTGCCACTTGTTTTATCATTCATGTCAATGCAACTAATATCCCATACACCTATTTCTGATGTTAGAGGGCTACATTCAGCCCCTAGGCCTGAGGTTCCCTACTCCAACTCTCAAATGTAAAAGATCTAAATAAATTTAAGTGTGCTGGAAACACAGCCTTTCAGTATGTAAAGGGAGAATGCAGGCAGGCTATAGTGGTGCCATTCTGACTACTTGACAACTACTAAGGTTTTTGTTTTATTTTTGAAAGAGTTTTGAGGCCAATAGCAGCTGTTCTCAAACTACACAGGATTTTTAACAATGATGTCAGTTTCACACAAAAGGCAGTATGGCAACTATAAATAGTCACATGTGAAAATCTTTTGGGGGCCTCTTAAAAGTCTGAAGAAGAGGTGACAGCCCCAGAGATTTGTATCAAATCTAAAAGCTCCTCAGCTATAAGAAAACGAACCCTCTTGAAATAATTACCTAAATGGAAGTCAGAAACAGAACTTTAGCATTAAGGCAGGGACTTATTGCAGCATTTTTTTAAGCTAGATAAAAAATTCCCAGCACATACTCACCTCGTGTGCTAACATTTTATAGAGTTCTTCTTTAGTTACAGAAATTCTCTCTCTGTCTGTGCTATCCACAACAACTATCACGAACTAAAAGAAAAACAAGAGTTATCGTCATTTAATTTAGTAGTCATTTCACAAAAATGTCTCAAAATGACTCGTGTCATAAAAAACTGATGTAATATAATTCAAACAAATTTAACATTAAAATGAGTAACTGCAAACTAAAAGTGATTACTAAATAAAGACTGTTCATATACATCCTAAGCCCACCCCAATGTACAGAAAGATTAAGGTTACCCCTGCCCCCAAAAAGCTTTGTTATAAAAATTGTTGAGGCACCCTCATTATGCACAGTCCTCATTATGCATACTTAAAGCTATTAATATTACTACAAAATAGTCAATGCTTTCTCTTTTTGGTCTGAATAATCTCTATAGCCCCCACTATACATTCATACATACATACATATATATATATATATATATATATATATATATGAATGATCCCTTAGTAACTAAGGGCATGATACTGCCAATGCAAACCCTTTACTCTCCTCATTGAACTCAAGAAGACAAAGCATTAATTATGGCTGAATATTGCATTATATTATACAAATTCTTACTTCAGTGTTTGTATAGTATGTGTTCCATGAAGATCGAAGTGATTCTTGGCCTCCAATATCCCACATAAGAAAACGTGTATTATTAACCACAATCTCCTCTACATTGCTTCCAATGGTTGGGGAGGTATGCACTACTTCATTCATAGAACTGCAAAGGAAGGAGAAGAAAATGTAAGAATGATGTATGTTCTGCCTCGGTCTCCTTAGTCTAGATTTCTTTCTGTTCTGCAGTCTGAGCTGCATTCAGCTGCAGTTATGCTTGTAGTTGCTTTGAGATCAAAATGTGACATAGCATAGCCTAGGTATAGACAACACAATACCCCCAAGCAGAATTTTTATCAAACTGCCAGTGTAAACTGCAAACACAACTCTGGTATGTTGCAGCTATGTCCAGGGTGCACTGAGTCACATGTCAAACTGCTCATGTGGGTGCAGCTTCAAGAAAATGTGGATCATATTTGCATTAAGCATATTTGGACTATGTAACCTACAGACTCAGTGTATCAGTAAACAGTTACCACGTTACAAGGTCAGAAGAAAATATGGCTATCACACTTAACTTGGCAGAAGACAATGCTGTTCACAATTCCAAACAAAACTGTTATTACTTTTAGGAGAAAACCTTTTAGAAATTTAATTTCAATAAGACAGTTAACTAATTTAAGAGTTTTCACTTGATTCAGCAACTAAATTTAAGAGGTTAGCATATCTCCAGAACCTCAGTACAGCTGCTTTTTGGAGACATTCAAGGTAGCATGAAACACCATACAATTTAGAACTCCAAAATCCATAGTTTGTCAATATTTATATTGGAATCTACTAAATTTCACAAAATAATTAGCAAGCTTTCAAGTTCCCTAAAATGCTTCATGGTGTGAGATGTTAGAACAAAAACAGGGTATGGGCCAAGTGGGGGAGGATGTACAGAAGTACAAGAAGTAGGCTGGGTGCTGTGGCATGGAAGCTGCATTCGGACTCAGTTACAAGATGGAAGTTGCAGACTGAATTAGTCTCTGCTAGGTGCTGAAGGTTATAAGTGTACAGCTAGCGCTCTGGCACAAAGCAGCAATAGCTGATACCCATTTTTAAAAAACAAAACCTGACTGTTGCCTAGACCTGTTTCATGCCTAAGTCCAAACTGAGATTCCTGGGTAGGCAGAAGGAAAGATTTACATCATTTAAAATATGCACTGTCTTTCTAACAATTGCAATTCTTTCTAACAATGCAATTCTCTTCTAAATGTAGGAGCATTCAGGTAGGCAATGCCACACCTATAAGCGGAAGTGATATGGGCCAGTGAGAGCTGTACCACACAGCATTCTCCAAATCACAAAATCTGGCTCTGAATGATGCCTACATAATACCATTATAATGGTAATCTCAAGTATCCCCCTACCTCAATATTACATATAAAGTTTCAAAGGTGTAGTTTCAGAGGGTTTCCTCAGGTTTTTTGTCATTTGGGATCAGGAAGGCATTAGAAATTCCTCCACAGGAATCAATGGAAATAACTGATTTCTTACAATTTGTTACAATGTCTAACAATTTCCTGAGAGTGCATTGCGTTTGGATTGCGAGTCCTGTGGAATCTGGCAGACTACTGGCAGGTAACAAGCAAAGTTTGTCTAGTTCAGCATCCTGATCTGGAAAAGCAGTTTTAGTCACCTGTTCATACAACTTCATACTTACAACTGATAAAGAATGGTTGTTTTTCCTGCATTATCAAGGCCAACAATGATCACTTTGTGCTCTGGAGGGGAGGGAGGGAAAAAAGAGAGCAAATGAGGAGCTAGTTATTTATTTAGATAATTTCTATATTGCATCACATTTCCAAAGGAAATCCAAGTTATTTACAGTGTATCTTTAAACATTAAGTATAACATTATAAAAGATCAAAATAAAACACTGTGAATAAAACTCAAAAAACACCTTCATTTAAAGGCAGCATGCAAACAAGAAAGCAAAATATTGGGAGGAATTCAACATAGCGCTTAGGAGATCTCTCCCATTTGTGCAAGCATTTCCGCTTGCCTGGTGGAGTGATTTCCCCACTTCTCTCCCCCCCCCCCGAGTTCTGGGGGTTCTCCCACCTGTCCAGAACCAATTGGGATGAGCGTAGGAGGAGGAGATAGGGTTAAGCCCTTCTGCTCTAGCAGAAATCCTTGTGCAGGCTTCCACTAGCGGGACCTGTTAGCTGACTCTGGTCCATTATCTTAAACATAAAAAACACAAGGACAAATACCAATACAAAAATGCAATACAATTCCACATATTAAAGCATCATTAGCAGCTAAACAAGGTAAGTGATTTAGCCCCCCCCCAACATCTCCCACAGTAACATCTCCCTGAGCACTCTCTCACATGCTCTCAACCATTCTTACCAATCATAACCGTAACACAGCTAATCCCCAACCAACCACTTGTCATTAAGCATACATCTGGCATTAAAAAAACACCTTGGCAACATTAAATGTAAATATACAACCAGCTCACTCACTCACCTGTACCTGGTAATACAGTGCCATACAAGCAATAACATGACTACTTCCTCCCCTTCTCCCTCCCAAGCAGGGCCTGACTGTATACTGGTACCAGTCTTTCATACTATATTAAGTCTCTCACATAGGAGCCATCTCCTAAGGGCTGTAGGGGCTTCAGCCCCCACAATAAAATATTTGAGGGGGCTGGTCCCCCACAAAGTTGACTAGCATTCCCATTCAAATGGTGTGTGTGCACTGCGTCATATGATTGATTATGCAGGGCGGGGCTTACCTGGACCCCAACAACATTTCATTCGAGTCGGCACCCCTGGTCTCTCATGCAGTATTAAGCAACCTATACAAGTTATGGGAATCTTCATGCCACATCTCTCTATGTATACCACCACAATGTTGGTAATTGTTTTGTTGTTCAGGCACCTTGTAGATCTTAAAGCTGGAAAGGCAGGGCTTCAGTAAATAAATAATAACATAATCATTGTGTGCCAAGTTCCTTTTCAGAAGGACTACTTTATTTATCATACAAAAACAAATAATAAGCTTCCCATACTTGCTAAAGGACTTGTTCTGCACCAGGCAGGTTTTCAAAGTTTCTTCTTCCTGCTTTCAAAAGGGTAATGCCAAGCATTTTTCTTTAACATGCAGCAGAGGCAAGCCACCAGATAGGACATGAGGGCTTTAGTGGAAATTGGTGGAAATTTTATGGGATAGTGGTTTAAATACATGCAAACCAGGCCAGTGTTTACTTCAACATAAAATAAACCACACTGATGCACTTAAGTGGGGAAAATAGGAGAAAATGTTATAGAAGGACAAGCTAAGTATTTTTAAATCAATAGTGTGGGGTTTTGCAGAATGTTTCTAGCAATAGGGAATATTAAACTCTACTGCACAACAGCACAATATTGTTAAAAAAATCATAGGCAACTCTCCTGAATCCCACCAAAACATTAGTAGCTATACTGAAGTTTGAGAATTATATTGTATTGCTGGCAGGATGAATGATGAAGAAGCACTTGGAACAAAAGATCTGCAGCATGACAAAGAAGGAGGGGGGTCTTAAGTGCCTACACTAATTGATTAGCAACTTGAGTGAGTTATTTATTTCTTTTGGCAATCTAAGGTTTCTAGTAAGGTTGCATGATTTAATCAGTAGCTAAATCAACGAAAGAATTAGATTAAAATTTTCCGCAACTGATTTAATTATGGATTGGGCTAAGCCTAAAGGAATGTTTGCTTACTTTTTATAGCTGTCTTGGTTTTTGAGATATTACTTTTCTCGGTTTTTACCTTCAGAAAGCCCTTTCCACATTAACATCTGCCAAGGAGGCTCATGTATCTACCACAAAATACTTGGGCATCTGAAAAGATGTTTTAGGGCAGGCTTCCTCAAACTCGGCCCTCTAGATGTTTTTGGCCTACAACTCCCATGATCCCTAGCAAGCAGGACCAGTGGTCAGGGAACCGCCATCAGAACAGGGGCGAGAAACAGAGGGGCAGTTGTGTTACAGGGAGCCTCTGAAAATCTTGCGAAGCAGTTCCTCTTCTGGTGATGAGGAAAGCCCCACCTCCAGTGGGGAAGAGGTGGAAGGACCAGAGGATGCTGGTGGGAGCCTCAGCACCGCTCCTGGCCAAGCCAGCCAGGAGGGAAGCATGCCCCTTCCGTCGCCCACCCTGCGCAGAAGTCTAAAGCACAAAGAAGGAAGTAAAAGGCTGGGCGTAACGAGGCTTTTATGTTGGGGAAGGTCCAGGAAACAAGCAATCCCGGATTCTGCTAGCGATTGAGGCAGACATGAACTTTGGGGTTCTGAACTGTGAATAGTTTTGCATCTAAATAAAACCTGTAAAAGACAGGTTGGAGTCCTGCCTGGTTACTCGTGAGCAACCACCTTTGCCATCTGACAGGAACTGTAGTCTCAAAACATCTGGAGGGCCAGGTTTGAGGAAGCCTGTTTTAGGGCATATGCTCAATTCACATGAACTGGTCAAGCCTGTGGTATTTCAGCTTCATGCCACATTAACTGAGAGAACACACACACACACACACACACCCCTACAAGCTGTGGGGGAAAATCAGTAGCAGGCATTCTGTCTTTTAGAGAACGTTCCCTGCCATGGAAGAGTCCACTATTTGAAAGTCAAAAAATTACTATATTGGGAGGGAGAGAGAACAGATTCAATATTCCTTCCTTTCAAGTAGTGGTAACGGTGTCCTCAAAAAACTATCTTTATTGGGGATTTGATAATGTGCAAATATATTCAAATTTAACTGAAGAACTGTTTAAATGAAAGTATAAATAAAAGTCTTTGATGGTAAGCCCAAGTCCCCAGAGGCCCTTGTATTTGAAGCAACACTGAAATTACACCAGCTTTTTGTAAAGTAAGCAATTTTGGAGTTTTCCAATCAGGCCACAGTAAGTTCTTCTGCTTTCTGACAGATCAGTTAAGACTAGACAGAGCTACATAACATAGAAAGTTGTTTCAGTGAGCGCCCCAGTGCAGCAAGAAACAATCCTCATGCATAGAAATTGATTTCCACACACCAGAAATCACCCATCTTGTGTATATGAAGATACAGCACTAGGTGAGGGTTGGGAACAGCTCCTTGAAGTTTCACAAACAGTACTTGTAAGAACTATGGAAATACCTGAAAACATCAAATGGTTGTTTGCATTCTGCTGCACAAAGGGGCCCTCCACTCCCCACCCCTCCTCCATTATTATTAAATGTTATTTCCTGACCTTCACCAGCAGATTCCAGGGTGGATTCAATCAAGAAACCTCCATCTCCCCAGCATACAAAGATAGTGAACTGATAAGGTCAGTGGGGCAAAGGTTTTGTAAGAATGTCCATACATGCATCAATAGAGAAGTGCAAGCAAGCCTGGAAAACCCCAGGTATCTTGACAATCTTTTTACCATGTCTTTGATACTTAAAGTTACATTGGCCTGGTTGGCATACTATGCTTAAGTTTTAGGGGCACTCATGCTTCATGTTCACATTGTCAAAGCACTGCATACTTTACATCTAAGCTCACGTGCACCTTTAATCTTCTCAATTTGGGAAAAGAAACAAAGTTGAATGGAAAATTACTTATGCTGTATCTTAACACTAATTTACCAAGTTCATAGTTGAATTCTGTCTATTTAATATTGCATTTTGTAAACAGAACACTAACTGTAGTTCAATTAGTACACACCAGCTAGCTATTTTGTTACACTCAAAAGCAATCATACTAGTTACTGTATGACCTACAGGAAATGTGCTAACAACCACAAGAAACGGTAGCTACACTTGTCTCAAATGACCAGCTTTCTCCCAAGGCAAGGAAGCAATGGCTCATATAGCGACACAGGAGTCTTTATTAATCATTCAGCTCTTTATCTGCAAATTCTAACTTCCTATGTTTGAAAATATATATAGTCTGAACTTGTTTCAGACTTAGCAAGAAAATGTTCAGAGCTGAATGATTAATAAAGAATCCTATGTCCAGGTTGGATTATAGTAATGTGTTCAACACAGTGTTCAAAAATCCTATTGCTCTGGGCGCATTTTGCAACAGGAAATTTCATTAGTGCAAGCAGTATCTGAGCTCTCGGCACAGTACTGCGCCTAAGATTTCAGATTAAAACTGCACAGTGGAAGGAAAGGAGGACCCTTTCCTGCCTCCCCACTTCCAGTCACTCTCTAATGACTAAAGAAGAAACCTTCTCAAGAATATTAGGGGAGTGGGCTGGGGAAGCACGGCTTTGGGGGTTTTTTTGCAAATGAGGACTAGACCATGTGAAAAATGAACATAAGATTTTAGCTGCAGTTCATTCATTTTCAGCTTTGTATTACTGTTATTTAAAAAGCATGCCTAGACATTCCGTTGTTGCACCCATAACCTAGGTTTAAGGTGCCGTTTAGCTCCTAGCTTTCATATCTCAGTTTCTAGCAGAGGTTTAACAGTGTGTGTCTTTCCTCTACAGTGCATTGATTTCAATGACAGGTGAATACCATGTTATATACCACCCTATGACTGCTGTAGTATTCAGTGGTCTTTCAAAGGAAAAACAACTGTTCTGAGAGAGAGACTCAAACCAGACATATAACAGCGTCTAACAGTGTCTAAGTCACAACAGCTTAAACAAAACCCTTACATTGTATGGCTTATAGCTTTGGTATAAGATGTGGTGCTGACTTTGCACTGGTATGCAGGTAAAATGGAACTCTTAGCTGCCTAACTCCTCCACACAGCCTATTATCTCAGTTCCCTTACAGATTTTCCATTATTGATGAAGGGGAAACAAGACAACCAACTCTTCAGCTCTCAAAGATGGTTTCAGGTGGCACCTGCTCAGAAAGCAGAGCTCTAAGCCTATAAAGAGACAGTGTGGCATACCCCTTTCTCAGAACACAAAGGATGAAAACATAAGCCTCAGGCTGCATCCACATCATATATTTAAAGAACATTTATCCCAAAGATTTCTGAGAACCGTAACTTGTTGAAGGTGCTAGGAACTGTAGCTGTGTGAAAGGTAAACTAGTGCCCAGGATTTTTTGTGTTGAAATGTGTGTTAAATATACAGTGTGCATGCAGCCTACCTTCCATCACTCTTGCCACTGAAAAGAATTACTTCTTGGGACCTCTCTTGCCCTGCAGGCTCTCCTTCCAGCCAGAGAATCTCCACAAGCTCATCAAGTATTTATCATTATTATGATTGTTTATTTTATTTATATACCGCCCTATACCCAGAGGTCTCAGGGCAGTTCACAAGAGTGGCTGGGGAAACTCAGCCAGATGGGCAGGGTATAAATAATAAATTATTATTATTATAAAATCAAAATATAAAATCACAAAATACATAATCAAAAATAAAAACAACAACCCAATAACGAGGTTCTCAAAAGAGTTCTGCATTTGGCAAGCATTGAAAGATATAAGTAGGTACAACACTGCACAATCAATAACAGAAAATTAACTGCAGACTTCTCAATTCTGAGCAATACTTAATTCTCCCTCAATCAAACACACCACAAGAACACAATCAGCTGTAAGCCAGCTTCTCACTAGAAGCCCAATCTAATCTCCCCAATTTCCCACCATTAGGGTCAATGCCACCAGCTGTTTAAAAAACAATCATTACCCTCCTACAACACATGCTGCTAAGTCGTTCTTCCCACCTTCCTTTCACCGCACATACCAGTCAGACGCGCTCCCCTTGCTGCATTTCTCTGAACCCATCGCCACTCAACGGCTAATTCTAGTATTTTTTACAGCACGTTTCGACTGTTCAAAACACTTCACTTGCATTCTCAGTATCTTTTTTCCCTCTTCCACAGCTGCCCTTTGAAGAGAGACCCAGCATTGCCCTTTTCCCTACATTCACTTAAGCGAGAGCGGCTCCCCATACACACAGGAAAATAGTTCTGCGCGCTTCCTTCCCCCACCCGCTTTCTTTTTTACAACCCGAACCAGGAGAAAGAAAGCAGCAGCGTTTTTCACCTTGCCCCCCGCCCAGGGAACGATTTTATTCAGCTGTTGGGTGAGTTGTGCCCGCACTTTGATCCCACCTAAGGCAAGGTGACCATAACAGATGCTCAGCCCTGCGTGGGGGGGGGCGCCTCCGAAGCGGCTGCCTCAGGTGCCTTCGGGGCTCCCTCTTTGCCCCCCCAAACTCCTCGCTCTCTTGACCTCGGGCGCCACCAGGAAGGCAGAAGCGGCGCCTCACACCCCGAAACCCGTCCGCCCGCCGTCGGCCTCCCTCGGCTACGCGACGAGCAGCAGCAGCAGCTCCGCACGGACTCGGGAGAAGCCGGAGTCCGAGTCTGCCTTTCTCTCTCACCTTGGTGGTTGAACAGCCTCCATATCCGAGCGAAGAGGATTCCCATGCTCAGGCGGCGGGAGCTTCGGCTGCCCCCGGGGGCAGCTCCGAACCGCCTCACTTCTTCTTCACCGCCCGGCCTCGGCCTCCCCCCGCGCTCAGTCCCTGGCCACAGCCCAGCTGCGGAGAGTGAGGAGAAGCGGAGCAGCAGCAGGAAGGTGGTGGTGGTAGTAGTGGCGGCGGTGGCGGTGCAGGCCCCGCGCCTCGGAGACGGTCGCCCGCAGCAACGCCGCCGCCGCCGCGCGCCCCTCGCCGCTCCTCGCGGACATTGCCGCCGGCCTCGCCGAAACTACTTCTCTCCCCTCCGCCCCTTCGAGCTTCGCTTTTTTTTTTTTTTCCTAGGCCTCGCCGCTCTGAGGGGAACGGATGGTGTTTGGGCACCGCCGGACACCGTCCGAGGGAAGCTGAGAGCGCGCCCCCGTTCGTGCGTGCGCGCGCGCTCCCGCTCCTACCGCAAAGCGCCGCTTTCCCAGCCGAGCGGCTTCGCGCAGGCAGGATGATGCGACGGCGCCAAGGGGCGGGGCGTAGCATGGAGTGGGCGGGGTTTGGAGAGTGAGGGCGGGGTCGACGCAAGTGGGCGGGGAACGCTCGGCACCCTCCAAGGGCTTCGTCGAACGGTGGGAGTTCAAAGACTGCCTGCTCCGCCCCCGCTTTGTGATTGGCTGAGAAGCGGTTCCACTCGTGCGAGGCGCCGGGCTGCGTTGCTGCTCTTTGGCTCGGAGGCAGTTGGGGAGATGGCGGGCGTAGGCAGCAGCGCGTTGCCTTCTTTTCGTCCTCCGGAAGGGAGGGGTGGTTCGCTGGCTCTTCGGCTCCTTCAGTGTTTCGAAACTTCAGTCAAAATGGCTCGAATAAATAAATAATAGGAATTGTATGGTGTTTCGGGATCTTTTTCTTCCGTTACTTTAGGGTTTGGCAAATTGCCCTCTTTTAGCACCTCGTGGGCTAAAAGAATCGGCAGAGCTCGATCGAGTTTGGGGTTTCTTGGAATATGGAGTCACAGCTTGTGTCTTCAGTTGTCCCTGCATAGATAGGCACATGCTTGGCTCGCTTAAGATACTGCACAGAGCCTCTATTCTCAACAACTGTGGCTCTCGCGGGTAGAGAATTATTTTTGCATATTTGTAAATGGAATCTCTGCTATTCTGTTGTTCTGCTCCTTTGGGCCTTTTGTCCTTCCCGGCTGTGATGCTTTGTGGTTTATATTTCTTATGCGTCGCCGTTTTACTTTTGGTCATGTCCGCACCTCTTAATAAAATCTAATCTGAAATGGTGGGAGTCGGAATCAATAAAAGTTTCTCAGGGAATCAAGCCGGTAGCATCAGGTTTTGCTACTTTTCAAGACGGCTGCTCATCCAGGGGGTGGGTGACTTTGTGAGGGTTTTTTAATTTTGATTTTTAGTTGTTTCGTTTTTTATTAAGTGGTTTTTTAGTTTTTTATACTGTAAGCCACTTTGTGATCATCGGGTGAAGGGTGGCATGTAAATTTAATAGGACAATAAATAAATTCCATAGATTAATAATAAGTAATACTGTACCAACAGCCATGGCTCTAACATCAAGATACATGTAGCACCCAATGTGTGGAATGCACTTAATTGTGATAAAATGTTTTAAATGTGTTTTTGTTTAAATTGTTTGTTTTACTACTTTGCTACTATCCGCTCTGGGTTCCTCTGGGAAGAGGGAACAGAATAGTTATGTAATAAATAAATAATAAGCAAACAAAAACCTCCAGCCTTTTGCCCACCCGTTTTGTATTAACATCCAGTATGTTGAACAGTTCTGGCTACTTGAAAGCTTACTGACAAAAGTCGGTCGTAACAATGCTACAGACCATACTGTGTGTGGCTTTTTGGTGGTTTTTCCTCGCTAATGGATCAACACAGCTACCTACAATCGTTGTTTCTCTGCAATGTCCACAATAGCTGGGTTAGCACCTTTCATATTTATTTATTACATTTATATCTCACCTTTCTTCCAGAGAGCTCAAGATGACATTCATGCTTCTCCCTTTTTTCCAATTTTATCCTCACAGCAAGACTGAGACTGAGAGACAGGGACCCAGGGCGAGGTCGCACCCAGTGAGCTTTGTGACTGAGTGGGGATTTGAACCCTGGTCTTCCAAGTCCTCTTCCAGCACTACACCACACTGGTACCACCAGCATACATAGCCTCCGGAGATATATTCCATGTTTCTTCGCTGACTGTTCCGTTTTCTTTCTTTTTTTCAGTAGCATACAAGTCAAAATGTACATATCTTAGTCTATACACTTGCTTGATAAAATAAATGAATGTGCTCCTGCTTTCCTGCATCATGGCCCATGAGTACAAAAGCACTAGGATAATCTTAAAATTAATGTTAATATTTACAGTTAACCTGTATTCTAACACATCTCACGGGTAGTAAGTCTTTTACTGTAACTGTAATCCGTTATTCTTCCAGCTTAAATGTGATGTAGATGTGAAGTTCTGGAGCTCAACAGTAGAGCACATATTTTAAGAAGTTAAATAATTTCACATAGCTTACCCACAATTCAAAACAATTTTCCATTACAAAAATACACTAAAACAGCCATAAAAGCCAAAACAGCAGAGAGAGAGAGAGGAGAAGTACAAACAGCTATCAAGAACAATTTAATGGTAGCAATTAGAATCATGTCAAAAAGGAAGCAACCACTTAGGGATCAAAAGTGTTCCTAAAAAAGGAAGGTTGTGACCATCCTACGGAAGGCCATTAGAATTTTTTTTATTGCATTTTTATCCCACTCTTCAACCAAAAATAGGCTCCCAGAGCAATTTACAAGTGACAATGATAAGACAGCCCCTGCCTTTAGGCTTACAATCTAAAGAAACAGAAACTGCATTTCAATTTTTGCAATCTAAAAGAAATAGACATAATGAAGGGGAGGATGAACCGCCTTTGAAAAGCAGTTCCAGGGCTCTTGTCCCAGCTAAGCATATTTGGGGGGAAGTGGGGCACACAGGAGACAGTAAGCAGGCAGTTTCCTAAAGGACTTTAAAGCTCAAACATTGAATTTGGCCTGGCAACAAAATAGAAGCCAGCACAGTCGTTTCAAGTAAAGAGTCATGTGCATCTTATATGCAGCCCCCATTAGCCTGGCTTCAGTATTCTGGACCAGTTAAAGTACCCTTCAAAGGCAGCCCTATGTAGAGCACTCCACAGTGATCTAAGCATCATATCACTATAGACCAATGATCTGTATAATTGACAGAGAGCCCAACTATGCTGTCACCTGGGCTGCAGTCCTATACAAAGGTACTTAGGCATAAGTCCCACTGCATTTAATGGGACTTACTTTAGCCTCAATAGGATTAGACTCTTAAGTTTCATAAACAGCGGAGGAGAATTTTCAGGAAGGTCACAAACCTGGAGTTAGAAGGGGAGTCAGACATGCTGGTGCTCAAAATCCAATACGGTGGTACCTTGGTTGTCGAACGGCTTGGCTCCCAAACAAATCGGCTCCCGAACGCCACAAACTTGGAAGTGTTCCAATTTGCAAATGTTTTTTGGAAGCTGAACTACTGATGCGGCTTCTGATTGAGTGCAGGAGGCTCCTGCAGCCAATCGGAAGCCGCGCCTTGATTTTCGAACAGTTCCGGGAATCGAACGCACTCCCGGAACGGATAAAGTTCGACAACCAAGGTACCGCTGTAGTGGCTACAGAACCACTGTCTGCAAAGGGCTCGTGCTCTTTTCTCCCAGGACCTTGAGCTGGAACCATGCAAGCAACGGGTGGACAATGGTGCAGCTTCCAAGCAGTCTCTAGGACAATAGGCAGAAACTGCAAGAATCCATGCAGACTGTTCACCCTACCTGCCTGGGCAGAGCAGCTATCCAGCATTGAGAGTAATGAGAGGGGATGGGTTTGAACTGAAGCAAGATTTCAGTTTAGGATGGAAGTAGTGAAGGGAAGGCACTCCTGTCAATATGCTGTTTAATATCCCCTTAATCTTGGTCCACAGATTTTTCTGTGGCTTTGGAATGCACACAACTTAGATGAGGATCACCTGGTACTCACTTGTCAAAAAAACAGGTACTTTCTAAAAACACACACCACGCACTGGCCTCTTCGAAAGTAATGTAAGTGCAACAAAGACCTGTAACACACCCAAGATAAGTTATCTGACATCTCTCATTTGAATACTATTTTGAATACCATTTGTTTTCTCATTAAATGGCTGGAGAATGGTGGGATGGAATTCAGCATGGCACTAAAAGGGTGTTTTAAAAGATGTAGCACTGGTATGCTCACTCTGTGAAGTCAGTCAAGCTGGACTCTGAAGCACAATGCACAGTGCTCCCCCAGATCAGAACCCTCCTTTTCTGAAATAAATTTTATTTTTGCATTTTCTATTTTACATAAAAAAATTCCTTTCCACAACCCTCCTTGACCACTTTTACCTGCTTGACATACGACTTTGAACTGTGATTATGGTTCTTGTTTGCCTGCATAGAGGATGGTGGTATGTGTAGATCAGTAGCTTTTGCATGCCTGGAATATAGCCTACTGTACAAAGGTCAGGGCCACATACATTGTTCCACCCATTTTGCCTCTGGAATGTGTAAGGTTGTCTGCAAGGGAGTGCAACCCGCAACTTAAGAAAAGGTTCCCAGCTTTAGAGCAGCGTGTAATTATGTATGATGATAAAGGAAATGCTCAAGCTGCACCTTTTAAAAATGTTTTCTGCTTGTTAGGTCTAACCACTCAGAGATAAGACATGTAGGCATAGAGTCTAGACATTTTTGTTTGATTTATTGTAGAAAAAATGTTGTTAATGCAGTTTAATACATCTAAATTCCATAAAACAAATCCATAGAAATCAGGGTACTGTAAGCATGCAGTCTGCATTTTCTTCTGTTAGATGTTTTGGGCTCACAAAAATAACAACACTTTTGTTTTCCTTGAAAGCCACTAAAAGCAGAGAGATAGCAAAACATGCGACACTGTACACATTTGCATAGTATATTTTACCCAGCATGCCTGT